GTGTGTGTGCGTGTGCGTGTGCGTGTGCGTGTGAGCTACAACTATTCACAAGGATCCCATTTTGAGATCAATAAATGATTGTCATAATTACTGTGTGTATAGGCCGAATATCTTTTTTTTTTAAAGCCAGGTAGATAGATGTATTATTCTCTACCTTGTAAGCATCCGGATTGTCTCCATTCCTGAGCTTGGCCTTGACACTAGCGAGGTAGTCCACCCCGTAAGCCTTTTTCACCTCTTCGTCAAGGCTGTTGTAAGAGTTGGTCAACCTCTCCATGGCGGATTCTGCATTGACGATTGGCGTCTTGAAATACCCGGGCTCTATCACGATAACCCGGATGCCGAATCGTACCATCTGGAAACAGACGCAAAGGTAGGAGAAAGCTGTCCTGCACTTTGACAAGTACGTTCTAAACATACTGAGTTCAAAGCAATTTAGAAGTGATATGTCATGTGGTAAGTTTAGTTATGGTTTTAATATAAGTTTTACAACACGACTTGAAACCCAATTAGGTCATAGAGGTGATACTAGAGAGTAACATACAAAGGAGGAGAGATAATAAGGTCAAGTGTTCAATAGCAAAGAATAAGCAAACCACATCAAGGCGCCGACACAAAGTAAGGTGAATAGATTGTTGTTACTGAAACAAAATTATTTATAACATGCGTGTATACCTAACTAAATTGTTATTATAATGCATAAAATATATACATACCATACACACGCACACACACCTAATGTGAGATGTGAGTGTATGTACGTGTAATATAAATATACATAATATTAAATTCGATTCTAAGTTGAAGAAGTTATTTTGTCGAGTATCTCCGAGTTCAACGGAGCTAGCAACTTTAAGTTGGTTGCATTCACAACATTTCACGCAACACGGCTTGGTTTAGGTCAGTGATTCGATTATATCGATGGAGGCGTAAACGTTTCACGCATTTTGGTCGCTTTAAAACACAAGGGGGCTATCCCGAAAAATGCTGTTTGGAGAAAATCGAAGGTAAAGTTTTTGCTACTGGTTCAGTTTCTTTAAAAGACAAGGAAAATTTTCTCTATAACCAAACAAATATATACACCAATGAAACCAGGCTTATCGGATAGATAGGGCAATGCCCCCTTTTGGTGTTTGTCAAGATTTCTGGAAACCCCCGAAATCTGAGTTAGCCTGCTTGTCCTTAAAAGCGACCAATTAATCGAAAACTCACCTCTCTTCTCAAAATATCTGAGTAGGCTTCAAGCGCGTATTTACTGACGCAGTAGGCTGCATGAACTGCGGCCACACGGCCCACTACGCTGCACACGTTGACAACTCGACCTCGTTCTCGTCTAAGCAGAGGCAGGAAGCGCTTGAGGACATCCATGTGGCCCAACAAATTGACGTTCAGTGTGGCTAGGACATCTTCTCTGCTCAGCATTTCTGATCTGGCTAAATTCCCTGTGTAGCCGGCATTGTTCACCACAGCCCACAGTCCTAGAACGATGATGATGATGGTGATGGTGATGATGATGATGATGATGATGATGATGATGAGGAGGAGGAGGAGGAAGAGGAGGAGGGGAGGAGGAGGAGGGGGA